AGGGCAGTGTCACTGGCCCTCATATGTGGGATCCGAACCGGGGCCCTCTGGCATCCCAAGCCAGCTCTTAACCAACGTGCCACTCGGCCGGCCCTGTCTATGAGTTTTTATTGGTTTGTCTTGTTCGTTTGTTGCTTTCATTTTCATATCCCTCATATGAGTGAAATCATACGGTTCTTGACTTTTTCTGTCTGACTTATTTTGCATGTTGTCACAAATGGCAGTATTTCACCTTTTCTTATGGCTGAGTAGTGTTCCTCTGTATATATATATATATATATATATAGAACATCTTCTTTGTCCAATCATCTATTGAAGGACACTTTGGTTGTTTCCATGTCTTGGCCACTGTGAATAATGCTGCAATGAGTACAGGGGTATGTATATCTTTATGAATAAATGTTTTCAAGTTTTTCTGGTAGAACCCAGAAGGACTGCTGGGTCACATGTTAACTCTATCCTTAATTTTTTGAGGAACCTCCATACTGTTTTCCATAGTGGCTGTATCAACTTACATTCCCACCAGCAGTGTATGAGTGCTCTTTTTCTCCACAGCCTCTCCAACACTTGTTATTACTTGTCTTGTTGATGATAGCCACTTCAACAGGTGTGAGGTGGTATTTCATTGTGGTTTCGATTTGCATTTTCTTAATAGCTTAGTGAAGTTTAGTATCTTTTTATATATCTGTTGGTCATTTGTATGTCTCCTTGGGAGAAGTGTCTGTTAAGTCCTCTGTCTATTTTTTAATTGAATTGTTTGTTTTTTTGTTGTTGAATTGTATGAGTTCCTTATATATTTTGCATATTAACTCCTTATCAGAGGTGTTGTTTGCAAATATATTCTCCCATTAGTTTTGCCTTTTTGTTTTGTTGATGGCTTCTTTTGCTATTCAGAAGCTTTTTATTTTTATATAGTCCCATTCATTCATTTATTTTTGCTTCTACTTCCCTTGGCTTTGAGATCAAATTCATAAAATTCTCTCTAAGACCAAGGTCTATAAGTTTAGTACTTATGTTTTCCTCTATGTATTTTATTGTATCAATCTTTTTTTTTTTTAAAGATTTTTATTGGGGAATTGGGGGATAGGAACAGCGCTGGGGAATTGGGGGAAGGGGAACAGACAAGTTGTCCTTTTGTTCTTCAGTCTAGTTGTGGAGGACGTAGCTTCACTGGCCCAAGTTGGCACCATCATTGCATTCTTCCCAGGCGAGGCAGATCAGTCGCCAGCTTCTGGACGGCCGCTCACGGCAGCTGCTGGCCGCTCACGCTGGCTGCTGGTTACACATGGTAGCCCATAGCAATCTGCTGCAGCAGAGGCTGCAGCTTACGCTGTCGCCTCATGGCAGCCCAGCTCCAGGTTGAGCTGTTGTTCAGCATCTTAGCTGTAGAGGGCAGTGTCACTGGCCCTCAT